AGGAAATACAATAAGAATGCTTGGGTAAGACACTTGTGCCTCATACTTTTATCATGTTTCTTTCTTTTCTGTTAATGTAATGAATTATTAGTTCTGTACAACAAAAGTCTATTTGGTCTTATTTAATAGCCTCCTTGTCTTTTAATGTATCATTTAACAAAGGAGTAATCTCAGCAGGGAATCATTTGGTTAACCGGTAGTTGACTGACTGATGCATGGATAGCAACAGGCTGATACCCCCATAGATATTTTCTAGCTAATGTGACAAGATTTAGTATTCTATTCATTTAAAAGTTCAACCCTATTTTAAAAACATACTGAGCTATTTTCTGCGAGAATATTCTGTGTCAGGAAATTCCACAGATTTATTATACACTGTATAGCAAGATATTTCGTATAATCTTTCCATGTGTGTTGTCTTTTATTGTATGCTGCCACAGTTGTATTATAAAAGGGTAGGTATAGCTGGTTTTCCCTATTCCCACTCACAATCATATCCTATTTTTACTGTGCCCTTTTACTCTTCTTTGGTCCAAACTATATATTCTGCTCACATTCATACTTTCTCTTTTGCTACTGTACTTTCCTTTGACTCCATCTGTTTTTCCATATCCTATCTTAATCCCCTTTCACCTTTGTTTCTGTCTCGACTATCACTCTATCTGTAAACTATCCTCTAGAATTAATCAGGTTAGCTAATCAAAATGCTGGCATTCACATGAAGTTCAGTTAATTGCGTCTCCTCTATTTTATGAGGAAATAACCATAGAGGAGCTTTGTATTCTGATTAGCTGAAAGGTTCTTCTTGTAGTAAAAAAAATTAAGCAGCAAGGCACAATAGACAGTACATTTCTTGGCAATTATAGCTTGCTTTGGATGGTGTTAGGAGAAGCACAATAAGTGCCAGTAGTACACTGCCTGGAGTTCTCCCTTGCAATTAAGAAATGGAAATTACAAAAAGGATCAAGTCAGCCTTGTACGTTTAGGGTGGAATTCATGCCAGCAGAGCCCTCACAAGCCCCTTTACACTGGTATGAATTTTGCCTTTGCTTTGTACTATTGCCATGAGTACAGACTATTAACAGTCAGAAAGAACTCCATGCACGTTGTGTCCCAAATTCCATGGCCCTTTTCAAATCCATTATTTGACATTACAATTGGAACATTTTATCTAATTATAAATCATTGCTGTCTTCTCCTAGGGTAGACAGTGATCAGAATTCCCCACTGGCCCAAATCGCTAAAAATTGCTTAAACGTGCTGCTCTGACTCTGCTGCCGAATCTTGATTATAGCTAGTTAGGTAAGGTTTGGGGAAGCATCTGGTATGACCTAGGTTACTATGGAACTCATTAAATTGAGACACTGAAACTCCCTAGTGAAGTATGTAAACTATTAGCGGTATATTAATATTCACACAAAACTAACTAAACTCCCAAAGTCCTATCCCAGAATAGACTGGGCACACTGTAAAACCTGGGTAGGATAAAAGCAGCCATCTCTGTGGTTATCCAGAATCCTGGTCAGGAGTAGCAGGGATGCCTTGGTCTGTTACACCTCTTGTCATGATTATGTACCTACCTTCCAAAAGAAAGGTGCAGTGACTTACCAAATGCTAATGTTGCTAACCTGAATCATAGGGACTACATGAAGAAGAAACTGGATGAAAAGGAAAATGCATGTATACCTTTTTGGACAAAGATATATTTTAAATTGTAACTAGGAAGGAGTAGATCTTCAAATTCATTTGGGGACCAAGCATCCATGCTTCCGGTGTCTTGTGGCGACCAGTGTCCTTATTCTCTCCACCCCTGCCTACTTTTTCTTCTGTCCTAAGATTCATGGTGCTGAACTTCATTCCTTCTTGCATGTTGTCTGCTGACAGATGGCATTCAGCCTACAGCACAGCTGCAATGGGAGAGAGAAAACATGCAGTGATGGAGGAGAGCAAAGGAAGCAGTGCCACTAGGAGGGAGAGCCAAGGAGGATAAAACTGGAAAAATGTTATGGAACATTTTGGGGGAAAGACCCACGGCAAAAGTGTCACCACCATGGGGGTGTCAGAAATGTGAGTAGTCAGAAAAGTATTAGGAGTTACTGGCTCATAAAGGGCATGGGTATTTTTGTTTCCTCTACCATTCATATCTGTCTGCAGCTCTTACCAGCCTGTTCACAACAGGGCATTTCAGAGAAAAGTGCAGTCTAGTGATTAAAGCTTTGCCATTTCCTATGGCCTTAATTTTTGCACAGGGAATGCCTTCCTGTGTGATCTTGGGTCACTTTCCCACTCAAGTATCTCATCCATAAAATGGACATTAATGTCTCCTTCTGTGGGATGTTATAAGAATTAACTAGATAATATTTGTCACGTGTTTTGAGCTTGAAAGGAATATATAAGCAATAGGATTTGTACATTTAACCCAATGATTCTCCACCAAGATCTTGCAGCACTCTGTCTAGGGTGGCATCTTGGAGTGCCTTAAGAACCTTTAAAGGGTGCCACAGGGTGCAAGGCCATGTTAGCATTGTTACATGTGCAAAAATAATTCACATCATAAACCCAAACTTTTCAAATAGGAATCCAGACATTTCCTGAATTAATCCAGAATGAGCACACTGTGGGGGCCCATTCTGGGTTCTTTGCAATAAAATAATTGTTCTATTATTTCCTGTTGTCTAATAAACAAATGAAAACTAAGAGCTGGCATTTTCCAAGGAAGGGGTGCTTCGAGTCTCTTGAGGGGGGCCTCGAGTCTAAAAAAGTTGAGAACTACTGCTTTAGCCTTACCACACGTGGTCCAGTTTTTTAAGGACTGTGATAAACCACTGGTCTGGGTGACAACTGGCATTTTGGCCAATAGCAGGGATTAAACAAAAGACCTCCAGCATGCAATTAATTCCAACTCAGTCATTCAGAGAATTGCCTCCTTAACTGGTCAAGCACAGGGAGAGGCACACAACACGGCACTCGATGGCTGTGCGCAACGTTAGTAGGACTAGTGTGCATGACCAAGGGTGTGATTGGGTGGAAACCTTTTACCAGCTTCCCTTTTGTGGAATGAGCTAGTGGAGCTGATTCATTATCTGCTATCAACAGGGCAGTGATTTGAATTTGTGAATGCTGTTTCCTTCACGCAATGTGTGCAGTTAGCAGATTTGCAGAGTGTTTGAATGCGTGTAAGGCCACAGATGCTTATAATTTGCAGGACCAAATGCACTTTATGTTAATCCCTAATTTACCTAACAGAGAACATAGTTCAAAGGTAATAACCGTCTGTGATGAAAACAGAGGAACTGAGGAAGGATGTCCTAGGAAAATCAATGAACAGAAGGCATTACATAAGGAACAGTCTTGCCTTGGTTCAGGAGATTGGCTGGGTGACCCTACAGCTCTTTTCCCATCTCCATTTTTTACAATTCTATGAGCCTTAGCACAGCATTAAAAGAAGAGCTGCGGGGTCTGTATAGCATGGCATTAATAAACATGAGATGAAGGCAATATTCACACCTAAAAGAGCTGTGCGGCGCAATAGCCCTGCAAGCAGGTGTGAGCCCAGGGGGATAAGAAGTTGTACCCACTGAGGAACAGGGCAGCCCGGACAGGCCACGTGGGATGACTGTCTGACATCTCGCAGCCCGCTGTGTAGGCCATCCAACATCCTGCTTGCTCAGGACAGTTGCTCTGTGTTTCTCCTCCTGCTAACGTGCGAGAGATGAAACAACAAAATGGTACTGGGTTTGCTCCTCTAGAGCTTCAGTCTGGAGGGGTCTGATACTCCTCACAGCCAGGACATGCTGGTCCCCAGCAAGGAGGCTTCTCCTCTAGGCATCAGGCATGAATGAAACCAGCTCTCCCAGGGAAAGCAAGCAGGCAGCCTCCCTGGAAAACACCCGTGGGACCCTCATCCCCTCTTCTCTCCTCACCGCCTTTGTCTTCCTGCTCCTCAGAAATCTCTAAGTGACACCGCCACCCCAGCTGCTGGCAGCGCTCCCTCCTTATGCATGTGGCTTCCCCCTCTCTCCTAGGTCCCTGCCAGCCTCCCTTCCCCTCAGGCTCCACAAAGACCCTTCTTCTTCCCTCTTTCTAGGTCTTCCCCCCCTTCAGGCTCCACAAAGACCCCTCTTCTTCCTCCTTTCCATGTCTTCCGACCTTTCAGGCTCCATGAAGACCCTTCTTCTTCTTCCTCCTTTCCATGTCTTCCCCCTGTCTGCCAGTCCCCTCCCCTCACACTCCACAAAGACCCCTCTTCTTCCTCCTTTCTATGTCTTCCCCCCCTCCCCTTTTGCAGATCCCCTCCCTTCAGGCTCCATGAAAACCCTTCTTCTTCCACCTTTCCATGTCTACCCCCCGCCTTTGCCAGTCCCTTCCCTTCAGGCTCCATGAAGACCCCTCTTCTTCCTCCTTTCCATGTCTCCCCCCTCCCAACTTTGCAGATCCCCTCCCTTCAGGCTCCACAAAGACCCCTCTTCTTCCTACTTTCCATGTCTTTCCCCCACTTCAGGCTCGAGGAAGACCCCCCTTCTTCCTCCGTCCCATGCCCGCCCCCCTCAGCCGGTGCCTGCCCGGTGGGGGCTCGCGTGCCTGGGCTGCCCTTGCCCCGGGCTGGGCCCCGGCATCCTCCCCGCAGCCCCGGCCCCCGCGGGGCGGCC